TATCGCAAGATAAGATTTTTAAAAAAACTTTTGAGACTTTTGCTGTCTTTTGAGTTTTTTGGAATAAATTTTTGGAGTTTCACATTGTTATTACACATTCAGATCAAGTAGCTTTATTAATATTTCTGGATACCGACGCTAGGAGATTTGGTGAAAGTTTTAGGTCAGACACTTATCGGCCTCATTCACGATCTCCACAACAAATCTCCCAAATCCTCATCTCGTCTACTACGACGTGTCCAACGAATCCTTGGCATCGAAACCCGGATCAACCTGGCTGAGGACGGCAAAAGTCATTTTGAGCACAATGTTCAACTCTTCAGTAAGTGGAAATCTGATGTGTTGTAAAGCAGTTCAAACTAATCTGACTTTTCAGAAAACTTAACCGAGCTACTCTACGACTACTAACCCAAAATCTTCTTTTTTTCGCTGAAGTTTTGACTATAGGAGTTAATCCGTACCCTGATCACGAACATTCGCTTGGGTAGGGGGGGGGAATCTGCAGCTTCTGTCAATCGCAATAAAAACGACCGCAATCGTCGTAGATTCCAGGTAGGCCACAGCTCTCCTGGACATGGTAGGAGCCACTACGACGTGCTCTCAAGCACGGCTGTCACACCAGGGTAGAGCATAAAGATATGTGACATAGGGAAGAACGAAGTCACTACTACATTTCCCTATCCCAAAAATTTTATCTGATACGACCCTTCATTTCTATCCTTCCCACCGTCTTCTTAAGCTTTCCCAATCTCCTACCACTTCACCCAGTTTTCTGACAAATTTTCCAGCTTTCTTCGAATAATAGCGGGTCGGAGGGAGAGGGAAGCTGTCACTGCTAATCAACTACTAGTTTCAATTATCAGAAACAGTCTGGTAGTTGTCTGGTAGTTCTGCGACAACCATCGTGGGGAGGGAGGCGGAGGGGGAGCATAATATGGAACGAGAAAAAGCTGAAATACTCGACCGTTTTTTTGCGGTTCGAAAACATTTTTGACGGCATGCGACCAAACTTCTCCCCAGCGACCAAGTAAGACCACTGAAGGGATTCTTCCGACGATGTTTTATGTTGTTGGACAATTGCTACGCACCCTTTTACGGCCCATGCGCCAGAGTAAGCCCCAGATTGATGGTGCCACGAATTCCACCAAAATTGGTACAAACCTAAGTCCTGACTTTGTTTAGAATCCTGATCAGAATTACAACGCTGGTTGTTGACGCCTGCGTCATTTGGTGCCATAATAGCACCAGCTTGGCGTCATCAGCTTCCACCGAAATTGATGTAAACGTGCATACTAGAGTTATTTGACGGTCTGAGGGGAGTTATTATATTCATCTTTGGAGCAACCGCTAATGTAGACCAATTTGGTCGAGTGCGCTCTGCTAAGGCTGAACCAGGGAAGGGACATTACTCGTCCTGCCAGGCTCACCGTAGGTTGGGTTTAACGTCTGGTAGGAACGGAAGTGAGTTCTTCCTCAAGACCCGGCATTAGCAGAGGGTAAAGTGGTGCTGGCGCCGAAAATGGATGTCATATTAGTGACCAAGATCCTCAACTGGCCGTAAATGCAGGTCTGTGACCTATTCGGGTAGAAAGTTCGTGGCGCCTTCGACTTGGAAAGCAACGTGAGGCTCAAGTTTGAATCAATTTTGGTGAAGCAGATGATGAGAGAGGATTTATGCCAATACCATACTGGGGCAAAAGGGCGCCGGCCCAGGGCGAATGCTGAGTTTATGATTAAAATACCACAGTAGCCTAGCATGCAGGTTTATATAGGTTTTAGTAAAAAAGGAGCGGGAAGCAAAATGGCGCCCACAGGCGCAAGAGTAAAATCATCTGCAATAAGGGCATTGGATAACCCTTTAGTTCTAATTCCCGCGGATTTTTTGGATTTCCTGGGTAAATGTGGTCGGCGTCTCAAATCCTTAGTAAGCGTCGTCTTGAAACGAGGGAGGTGTATTTTTAATGGAATAATTTCTATTTTCCTTTCGCTGATACATGCGTCCTCGAATGACGACTACGCTAAAGGAGCTCTCAAGCGGAAAATCTCTGGAAGGTCACCTTCGAAACGCACAGGCATAATATTAGCTTGGCTGCCCCCGCTGCCACGTCTGGTTACAGAAAAACGGGTACTCGGAAGATAATCTATTCCTGTGTGAACCCCGCCCCGGTACGAACCCCGCTTCTTCTGTATGTCTTCTTCT